TTTTTTTTGCACCAAGATTGGACAGCATTTCGTTGTGTATTTTGTCTGGTCCTGGGGCTTTCTTTTGCTTTAATATTTTGAGGGCCTGTCCATTCCAAGTTCCGTCATGCGGAAGTCCTCCTCAAAAAGGGTGTTGTTCACGGTAGGGGCTTTTGCATCGTGCTTAGCCTTGTTTGTGAGGAATCTATCGGCCTCAGTTAGTCCACTTGCCCTGTTTACAGAAGCGAAATACCGGTTAAAATGTTCCCCTTTTTTTTGTCTTCTGTGAAGGTGTTGCCTGAAAGGAAAATAGGTTTGGGGTTGCTTTTTTGTTGCTGACAAGGGACCAAGCCTTTGTTCCATTGTGGCGAGGGTCAAGATCTTCACAAGTCTGGGTCCATTTTTCATTTTTGGCTTTTCTGTCATTTTCACCTGAGCGCAGGTCTTGCTATAGTGTGTTCTAGCTATTGGTGACGGTGAGTTTTCCAGTAACTGTCTGGCCTTCTCTCTTTGTGCCACGGCAGCCTGGATTTCTTCATTCCGAAAGGGTTTGTAATTCCTTCGGCATCCCCGTGGAATGTGCTGAAAGGCAGCTTTAAGAATATTTTTAGTGACTTGTTCATTAAAAAGATCAGCACCATCTGTTTCTACTATGCTAGAGAGCAATTTGTTAGAGGTCTTTTTGTACTCTGCCCAGTTGGCTTTCTTAAAGTTCCATCGAGTTCTCGGAGGGTAGTTCAAAGCAGGTGGGAAGGTGATCTGTGTAAAGATAGGTCTGTGGTCACTTCCTATGTCATCAATCACTTCGATGCGACATGAGTTTTTGATGTCAGATGAGCAGACGGGTGAGATCAGGCCTACTGAGAGTCAAGTGGGCTCTTTGAAGTAGGATAGGAGTGAAGTTAGCATTTTGCAACACAGAGAGGTTGCTGGCTTCACAAAGCTCTTCGATCTTTTGGCCAGTGCTGTTGAAGCTGGTGTAGCCCCACTCAGGGGAGTGGCCATTGAAGTCACCCGCACAAATTGTTTTTTCGTAGTTGGTTGCTTGTAGATCAGACAAGTCGCATGTTGTCTGTGGAGGGCTGTAAACATTTTAAATTGTACACTTCCTACCAATGTGCCGTATGGTGGCGTTCTTGATATCTGTCGGTCGGGCAGATGATAAGTGTACGACATTTCCCTGAATATCGTTTCGCAGGTGTGACTACACCGCGGCATCCTGTGCATGTGCAGGCGTTACTGGTGTATCCTCTGAGGTTCAGGTCCGTACCTTTGTGTACGGTTTCTTGAAGGAGGGCAACATGGATCTGCCTGTCCTTCAGGACTTTGAGGAGTTCTGTTTTGTTGTTCGTCGAACCACAGATGTTGAGTTGCAAGAGGTTGAGGGCACTCTTCTTCTGGTTGGGGATGTAATTGGCTCTCTTCTCCTGCCGAGAGCTTTCCTGTGGTGGTTTAGCACAGTTTCTGTGTGTATCACTAGTAGCTGACTTGTCGCTCAGAGCAGCCCGGTGATTGCGCTGTCTGGCGCGGACCTTTTTTAACGAGCCGACGTCCGAGCTCGCATGTAATTTCTTTCTTTGTGTCATGGCATTGTGGACTGGGGTGTCTGTGGACTGCTTGCCCAACCTGAGAAGGGGCCATGCACGTTGGGGATAGGAGGGTGCAAGGATTTTCATGAGGCTGGATGACCTGACTTCCCTGTGACCGTGTAATTCCAGTAGGGTTCACGCTGCCCATTCCCCGCCACCAATGGCTACTGGCTATAGTTGTCTACTCTTGCATGAGGTTTCGCCCAGTGAGAAAGCCATTGGATCGTCACGTCCTGGGTCGTTGTACCTTTACTAAGAGGTCACCGGTCAGTAGGCAAGTCAGGCACTCCGCTCGATCCATCCTTGCATCCAGGCTTCCTCAAACTGGCTGGTTCCTTCTCAGCCACAGAGGGTGTGTTGATAAAGAGCAGTAGGGGTGTTAGGCAGATTAGACACCAACTCAAGGGAGAGTAGGGGTGTGTTAGTGAGGAGCATAGCGTCTACCACGCATCGAAGGGTTCTGCCTCCAGCACCTTGTGGGGCCACACCTGCTCCCATCCTGTTGTTTTATCACCTCAATGAAACATGGGGGGGGGGGTTGGTTTGTTGGCGCCAACAACTCCCCACTCGCCAGAGCCGTGTCAGTGGAAACAGGGACTACCACGGGCAGGTACGGTTGGCTGGATTGGGGAAAGCTGTTTGAGACGCTTGGGCATTTCTCAATATTTAAACGAGACCCTTCACTATTCACTGGTCCTTGATCCCCAGGAGCTCCGAGATATTTCCGCCCTTGTCCGAGAAGGCTAGGTTTTTTAATGTTACTTATCTTACCTACCCTAAGACCAGGGGCTATCATGTTTGTGGTCACGAGCATACTGCAGTGTACCGAAACACAAACAACATTCCTGGGTGGCCGACAGGCACTCTGATGTGGGTTGCTTCTTCTTTCTAATCAGACATCTTGTATGCTTGTCTTTCCCCCCTTCTTTTCTTCAAATGTTTCTGTAGCACCTCTTATCTCCGGTGTCGCTTACTTCACCTTCTAATCGTGTTGCCTTGCTACCAATGTCGCACAACTAGTGTTCATAAAGGAAACCTATGTCACGTCCAGCAGGCGTGATGCCTTATCTTTACTCAAAAAGCCAAAACTTGAGGGGAAAAAAAAAGTAAATAAAAAAGAAC